GGAACTCGTAAATATACTTACCTTGTCATTGGTCATTTGCAAAATTATTTTGTTAAAAAACATTCTGATTGTACACACAAGTACTCTGAAGTTGACATTAAAAAGATGCTTGAGTTTCTGATTGACAATATCTATGTGGTTTTTGGAGACCAGGTCTTCCAACAATCTATTGGAATACCTATGGGTACCAATTGCACCCCGTTATTAGCAGACCTTTTTTTGTATTCATATGAAGCAGAATTTGTCCAAAATCTTGTACGTGAAAAGAAGAAAACACTTGCTGTGGTGTTCAACTCGACATTTAGATATATCGACGACATATTGTCAATTAACAATGGCTATTTTCATTCTTATGTCGATACGATATATCCTGGTGAACTTGAGATAAAAGATACCACAGAATCTGACACATCTGTTTCATATTTGGATATTTTACTTGAAAAAGACGTTAATGGTAATCTAACAACCAAGCTTTATGATAAACGTGATGACTTTAACTTTTCAATCGTCAACTTCCCTTACTTATGCAGCAATATACCTTCATCACCTGCATACGGGGTATATATCTCTCAGTTGATTCGATACGCAAGAGCATGCTCTACGTATGTACAATTTCTAAAACGAGGTAAATTATTGACAAATAAGTTGATGAAACAAGAATATCAGCGGTCTCGTTTAAAGTCATCATTTCGTAAGTTCTATGGTCGATACAATGACCTTGTCAGCAAATACAATTTATCATTGAGTCAAATGCTGACTGACGTTTTTCATACTAATTGTTAGGCCATTATTTACACACTGAATTGTCGACGGATTTTTCCGTTATTTCCTGATCATGACAAGGAGCACACGGTGGGTGTGACCGGTCAGCAGGGGATGCTCAATCCTCCATGGCACCTGATCCCACCTCTGATGTATGGAGGTCCGTGTTTGCTCTGCTCCTATTTTGTATTGTATAATGGACTTTTGAGCTTGAATACTGTTCGTTATCTCCATATATTTCATATTAGAAATTTAAGGGTAAAACAATAATCGATTTATTTACTGACTCCGCATTGAAATATCAGACACAGTTAAAGTCATTTTTACTATAGAAACGTGGGGTTATTCAAGTTCAGAATCAGTGAAAATTTTAATTTGAACGTAAATAACGAATATCATGTTCAACTACACTCTATCTCGTATTTTTATTTTTTACCTCAGATATGCCATATATAGCTTTAAGTATTAATGTATTTAAATGATGTAATTAAAAAATGCACGTAAACCATATTTACATTTATTAAAGCTGAATTGGATGTCAGTTATATGGCTCATTATTGGGGTACTTAAGTGTATTCTTCAGATACCTAGGGTTTCCTTGGTATCCTTTTTTGTGTATTAAAATATGCAATAAACAGTTACTATGTTATTTACAAAAGCATAAAACCATTTTTAGATTTATAAAGGTCCAACTGGGTGTCCTTGGGGTATTTTGGGATATTCTTCGGGTTACCCTGGGATGCCCTTGTGGTAACTTAAGGCTATCCTTTGGTTCTTAAGCGAGTATCCTTTTGATTTGTGTATTGAAGTATATACAATAAACAGTTACTGTGTCATTTACAAGTGCAAATATAAACCATATTTACATGTACATTTATTAATGTTGAATTGGGTATCCTATGGTACACTGGGATTTTCTTTTGGTACCTTAAGAGTATTATTTGGTTTTATGTGAGTGCCCTTTGGTTTTGCGTATTGAAATACACAAATCATAGTTAAAACATGATTATTTATTTACACCGTATAAAATATTAAAGTTCTTCAAAACTAAACATGCATAATTGAGCTTAATTGTTTAATTAATTAATATTACCTATAAATTTTTAACTTGGGTAACTCCTCTATATTTAAGACAATTAATTTAAAAGTGTTAATTTGTCTTTCAAAAACATTTTTTTTCTAATTTACAAGTGCATATAAACCATATTTAGAATAATTAAGGTTGTATATGGTGTCCCTGGGGTACCTTGTGGTATCCCTGGGGTTCCTTGTGGTTCCTTGTGATTCCTTGTGGTATCCTTGTGGTTCCTTGTGGTACCTTGTGGTTCCTTGTGGTAAAAAGACATACCCAATTTTTCTTCACGATTTGTTGGCTTTACATGTACTTGATAAATAACTTGGAAATGTGACCATGCTTTAGAAATTATAATACTTCAGGAAATAATGTCCGATGATATAAATGATGAAATTTGGTACAGTACATGTTCCCTAATTGAAAGCAGTCATTATTTTAAGCTAACAATACACCAGTTTAAAACTTGTCAAAACAAATGTCAAGTTTTATAACTCCAGATTTAGCAATCCACAGTCAAACAATACCCACTGTCAAATAATTTTAGATCTCTAAATCTTATAATAATGAATCATCTGATGGAAATATATAAAGAAATCAAGTAATAAAATAAGTGAAAAATCTGCCATGATTTTTTTGTTCACATTGTACTGTGCCGCATTGTATGTACATGGACTGCCAAGTTAACAGTTGCTAAAAGATTAAATGAACATAATACAATAATGGATTACGATTGCTCTGATTCAAAAATATACTTTAAATTACAGAATCCATACAGAATGATGAATATTAATAAAAGAAGTACTTTATGCAGACACAAGTTCCATGCACTGAAAATTTTCATATTTGTTTCGTTTTTTTTTTTTTTTTTTTTTTTTTTTAGAATTGTCACAATTTGTAGTATCCAAGTCCAAGGCTCTCAACTGTCTATAATTGGGGCCATTTCCAATTCAGAAAAGGTACTCTTTTTCCCAACTGAACATGTTTCTCAATTTTCAATAACCACCCAAAATTTATGAACATAAGTATTAATATATATTTGGATTTATAATAACTTGTTGTATATTGCACAACTGAAATTTAGTTGATATTAAACAAACACCAGAAACCCAAAATATGACAAGTTTTAATGTATATCTATTTCCCCCAAATTACCAAAAAGATCACTAATTTTCCCGATTTTAAGGGCCCTAGCCGTAGTCCCAAAAAATGCTTTGAAAGCCCACAGAAAGTTAAGTTACAATTACATTAATAGCTATGAATGCTACTCTTCAATCTCTGATTCAACAAATCCATTTATAAGTCTGAATTTCTTTGCATATAATTTACCACAATTAAATGCTCTTACGCAGTATGTGAGTAAAAAGGAATTACATATGATTTATATATATTATCATCAATAAAGCATATGTCTATATATTTGCTGCTCAGGCTTTTCTTCACACTACAGTTTGGTCTTTTTCTTGTACAAATGATTCATAAATCTGGTAGGTTTTATTCAAATGCCATGTTAATTATCACATAATGATAAATTCTGTCTACTACCATTACATACTATGTGTACACTATACTTACGTATAAACACTTTTGTCAACAAGACTGAAGGTTGCAAAATGTAAAAACTTAAACAATGAATTGAATTATCCTTTATATCAAGAAATATTCCAATAAATGCCATGATGAATAAAAATAATTTTTCAGTGTCAGATAAACACCTCTACAGGTCTTTATACTGTAAACATGGATATTTTCACGGGGTAAAATTTTGTGACTTCCATAGAACAAAGCGCTGACTTCGCATTTGGCATACTTTTTGGAAATTAAGGAATTTACAAATATTTTGTGAGGCACCTTATAAGAGTTATAAATTCTGGAAAACGTTACTAACCACAGAACTTGCAATCATTTCCCCCAAGCGAATAATTCAATGTTTACAGTATATTTTTCAATGAAGCTCAATGTACAAAAAAAGTAATTAAAATAGTTATGATGGTGTGCCCAACACTATTAGCCCGGGTAGTCCCTTCACAATAACTGAGGTACTACATGTACTCTTTTGCAGGGCAAATTAATAACATTTGGCAAAGTTTTTGTTGACAGATAATTAAATGATGTATATTAAACAATTACTTTTGTACCTCATATTTCACAAAAATGTATCATTTTGTCCTGCAATTTAAGAGCAGCACCGCAGTTATCGTGAAACAGTCTATCAATGATATAATACATGTCTCATCTCTTTAGTAGATCTATGTGAATGTGTTTTGATCTGTTTTAGAAGGGAGGCTGGGGAAATCAGTTTTCATAAACTTCACCTTCTTTTGTTTTACTTGTACAACATTTAATGTAACATTGTAAAGCACAACAACTTGCTTTGTATGTATTTTTACTTTTACACAATTTTATTTTATATCACAATTGATTATTGACTTTGTCTACAATTGCATCTCTTTCATGCATCTCTATGGGCTCTAATGATTGGAAATAAACTAATTTGTCTATTACACATACTGTTGCTAAAACATTCTGTTACTTATTTCTAATCCTGGAACAATTTTTCTAAGTTTCTGAAGATTTCAATGGTCCATTTAATATAAAGTTAATAATTCTCACAAGTGATGCAATTTAAGTTAACATTTTGTTGAAAAGTAAACCAAAATAAGATTGACCCAAACCATTGTAAGAAATTTAGACATGATGTCATGAAGCCATATAGAACTTTTCTACTTATCGTTTGGACTTACTAAGGAAGCAATGATTATGTTTGCACCAACCTTGCTTGCCAAAATTTACTTGATTTTCTCCCAGTAAATGCTTGTTATGGTGTGAAATATACAGGCTACATCATTGACAGTGTGACGTAAATAAGCATGTCACTGCCCAAGTCCAAACTATCCAAACTGATAGATTTGTAATATTGAATTCTTGCACCTGTATTTTGTTTTACCTTTGATGACAAACATCTTTGCTTCATGTATGTGACACATCAGTACCTATCATACTTCATCATGATGAAGTTACATGTTATATACACAATATAATATCAGTAACTTATATACTGAATATATTTACAAAAATGAATGAATAACTAAAAATATAATTTAAAAATAACTCACTAATATAAAATTCTGTATTTCTTTATCCATCTTGGAAAACCTTTACTTACTTTAAATAATATCTTTGTCCATCTTGAGTTTTTGCCATTTCCCACCCTGGGGGAAGGGGTTCGCTATCTATTGGGTCTAACAACGCATCACAGGAACGCTGTCGGGCGTGACTGGGGGGTTGAGGGGCCGCCGAGAGGGATTGTTGTAAGGTAGCGGGTGAGGAGTGTGCCCTCATGTGGGCCCCCATGGCGGGGTTCATTTGTCCAGGAAAACCTGTCGAGTCATTGCTACCTTGCTTCACATGGCCAGGCTGTGACGGTTTTGGCTCATTAAAAAAGGATGGAGGTAAATTCCTTTTACGGAAGGGAATCTGTCCCCCTAATTCCGGGTTTGGATTAGCTGCAAACTGAAACAGTGCATCAAGTTCGTTTCCACTATTTTCCCTCACATGCACTACCTGTGTACCTTGTCGTTCTGGTGGTATGTCCTGCGACATTTTGACAATCCAAAAATTACAACACAGGCTCAAACGAAAGGTCAGAAGATCTTTAGGCTGCTCATAGATCCTATCATAGGCGAAAAATGTGGCGAAATCTTGAACTTTTCCTTAGAACTTTCTAAGAATGGAGGACACCATTGCGAGTTGAACGAAAAATTTAGCTACGGGCCTGTTTACAAAAATACACACGAAAAATATATTGCGCGGGACAAAATAGTGCTGTAAAAGAGAGAAGGTAAACAATAAAAAAATTGCAGCTTATTTGATCATAAGAACTATTTTTTGATAAAATCATATCATTCAAAATCATTTATTAAAATCAAAATGAATTTACTGAATGTGTTAAGAAAAATAAATAAAATTGTCGAGACTTACCTGTGAACTACTTTTACTCGAAGCGTATATTCATACATCACATTTTTTCATTGACGTCATCGATGTATTCCTGAAAAAAGCAATCGTTGTGGCCATTGAAAGAAAATTTTTGATTTAAATGAAATGTTAGATTTTAGTCTAACGAATAATACGTCCTTTATTTTTCTTTCATTTCAGCAAATACCTTCCATAAACTCTTATCCTCATACGGGACGATGGAAAAGCCCCGCCCCCTATGTTCCAAATAAGGAGTGTCTCGTAAGAACATGACGCCAATCAAAGTTTGGCCAAATTATTTATCAATGAAAGGTAGAATTTCGGTTGTGGGTGGAAATGAATCATTTTTTGCATAACCGAACAACTTTTCATTACACGACAATTAAAAACCACAGGAAGAAAATTTGACGAAGAATAAATTATGCCAAAACTGGTTAAACTTGCTTGGAGACTGACATTTTTTTTTTTGGAAAAAATTCTTGTTTCAAACTGAAAGAATCAAACGGAAAAAACGCTGAAAAGTAGATCTTATCGATGTTGTAAATTTAAAATGTAACATTAAAAAGTGAATTGGTATTTCAGACTCACATTTACGAAAAAGCCTGGCGGTTTTTATTTAACACGGAGCCGGACCAGATGCAAAGGGCATTCCGCATAGAAAATTAAAAATAACACATAACGCTGATGAACATATACGATATATATATGTACATGTGTATTATGGAAAGACTTAAAATCTTTCCTGGTGTTTAATTGATAAAAATCTTGAAAACTGACTAAATTCCAATAGGTTTATGTTTTGTGAATCTGCTCGTCAAACTTGTGTATTGATTACTTTATTTTTAACAAGAAAATCCCCTTTTTCTTGTTTCAAAAGTTTTTTTCTGGGGGGGGGGGAGGGTTGAATGTAAATACGCGAATAAATATATACTTGTTTTTGCTTTTAAAAAAAAAAATAAATAAATAAATTTTCAAGCATGTAGCATCGGTTTTCAGAGTGAGGAGGGGGGGGGGGGAATAACACGATCTCAAAATTTGACACGCAAACATACAAGCATTTATTAATAAATAAAATAAATAAATGAATCTAAAAAGAATAAGTAAATTTTAAAAAAAATAATAATCCAAACCCCAAAATCCTATTTCTCAAGGGAAGGGGGAGTTTACTTTTCATAGTATTACATTAATGTGGGAGGATTTTGACCATCCAGCGCCGGAAACTTATGTGTGTAGGGGGAGGGGGTAGCCTTTCAATAACAATTTCCACTCTGATTTAAAAAACTTACTTCTGGAAAAAAAGTGAGAAAGAGACAGGTCCGTAGAACGCGCGCAGGGGGGGGGGGGATGTCAAACGATTTGGGGTAGTTAAGGAATTTGATAATATTAATCTATAACGTAAGTCTAACATATATTTTAGACAGTAAACTTGAATTTTGTCATTTAACAAAATGATCTGTGTAAAAAGAAAGAAAAAATTTAAAAAATCAAAAGAAAACAAAAAACAACAACAACAGCAAAAATTCATGCGTAATCTCCATGCAATAACCGGAAGGTCCCAAAGGGAAGCAGGTGTTCCTCGAACCTAATGGCCCAGAGTGGGAGTAGCAGAAAAACGTCAATAGCCTCTCCAAATCTGGAAACCTCTCCTAGACGCTAACTGTATCGCCGGAATGAGATAATGTTGACAAAGCCACAGAACACTTGACCCCTCCCCCGAAATCAGTAGTCTAAACTGTATCCGGAGTTATATTGAAGGATTTCTTCTTAAGCAAAATAATTTTATATAATGGTTGTTATTCACGTATTTTTTTCTAACAAATTTAAAATTCTTCGGGCGTATATATCATTTGGGCGTGTCCAGGCGATGAAGCTCGAGTATAGTGTCATTAAGTTGGAAGCGAATTGAGTTTTAGGCTTATAGACTCTAGATAACGTTCAATACGATCTATGATTAAAAAAGGATTTAAATGATGCAAGAACAATCGTTTCGAAAAGTATGGGTCACGCAGTAATGCATAACAACTCTTGAACTTTTTAGGTCAAATCGCATTTTAACCTGTTTCGCCACACGAATTAAAAAGGGTACAAAATCATAAAATCTGCCACCGGGGAGAGAATGTAGAACATACTTTATTCAATATTTATTCAATAATTCATATACTATTCGACTAAACCTTTATTCAGTTCTCAATGTTTTCTTAAATCTTTCAGGCTTATCAAAAAGAAGGAGAATAGGTAAATACATATGTATTTTTATGCCCCTGGATCGAAAGATCCCGGGATTATATTGTTTTTGTCCTGTCTGTCTGTTTGTCTGTCTGTCTGTTGTCAACTTTAACCTTGCCCTTAACTTTTGATTGGTTGGAGCTATGACTTTCATATTTCACATGTGTATTCCTTGTGACAAGACCTTTCTTTGGGTACCATCATATTTGATCTTTTGACCTTGGAGTTTGACCCACATTTGCAAAATTTTATGAGACTTTAACCTTGGCCATAACTTCTGAACAGTTGGTGCTTGGGTTTCAAACTTAACATGTGTATTCTTTGTGACAAGGCCTTCCTTTGGATAAAAACAACTACGACCTTTTGACCTTGACCTTGGAGTTTGACCTATTTTTGAGAAACTTTAACCTTGGCCATAACTTTTGAACAGTTGGTGCTTGGGGTTTCAAACTTCACATGTGTATTCCTTTTGACAAGATCTTCCTCTGGATATCAACGTCTTTGACCTTGACTTAGGAGTTTGACCTACTTTTGAAAAACTTTAACCTTGGCCATAACTTTTGAATGGTTGGAGCTAGGGCTTTCATACTTCACATATGTTATCCCTGTGACAAGACCTTCCTCTGGATACCAACCACTTTGACCTTGACCTAGGAGTTTGACCTACTTTTGAAAAACTTCCTTGGCCATAACTTTTGAATGGTTGGTGCTAGGGCTTTCATACCTCACATATGTAATCCTTGTGACAAGACTTCCTTTGGATACCAACCACTTTGACCCTTTGACCTTGACATAGGAGTTTGACCTTCTTTCGAAAAACTTTAACCTTGGCCATAACTTTTGAATGGTTGATGCTAGGGCTTTCATACCTCACATATGTAATCCTTGTGACAAGACTTTCCTTTGGATACCAACAACTTTGACCTTGACGTTTTACTTACTTTTAAAAAACTTTAATCATGGCCATAACTTTTGAACAGTTGCAACTAGGACTTTCAAATTTCACAGGTATATTCCTTGAGACAAGACCTTTCTTTGGGTACCAACATTTTTTTATCTTTTGGCCTGGATTTTGACTTGCATTTGAGAAACTTTAACCTTCGCCATAAGCTGCCATACGGGGGCATCAGTGTTTCACAAACACATCTTGTTTTTTCTCTATTTGTCTCTCTCTTGTATAGAAACACAATTAATGGATATTTTAATTTCAAAGCAATTCATATGGGTTGGTTCTTAATTATCAATTTTTTAACAAAAGGGAAGAAATGCGTTGGCACAAGATGTCCCGGAATATCTTATAAAAGGATAACTGCACTGAACGCTGGGCTCTGGGTCTTTTTCCGTCGCTTCTGTTGCTTTTATATTTTAACCTTATTTCAATTTTGTATATTTACTAAAGAAGTCTGTCAATTTGGCACAAAAATTTAAATGTTAAACTGATTTTAGACTGTGATACAATAAAATAATTCTATGGTTTTTTTGTCCTTACTGCTTTCCAAATATAGAGAAGTTACACTTACCTGCCCTTGATTAAACATTAGGTATGCATGATAGGTGGAGCTAACATTGTAAGAATGGCTCTAAAATTAGACTTGATAAATAACAAAGACATGTATAAAAATACTCTTTCCCATTTCCCCCTTTATTCTGTACATGTATGGCAAACGTACACTATCTACAAAGGTTTCAAAACGAAATTAACAATATGAGCACATCCACGTAAGTAAAGAATGTTTTGAATCGATACCTGGCAATTCAACGTGTTCGAGCACAGTGTCCTAGTAAGCGCAAACATGCTACCCTACAAGTCACGTGACGGAATTTAGTATTCACAATATCCAACATTGGTTACAACAGAGAGAACGAATGTGAGAAGAAACATTTTTTTTTTCTTTTCAACCATGAGCTCATGTTTGTCTATTAATCTCTTTTTGACACAACATTATTAATGCAAATATACGAGGGTTGTTCGAAAAGTTCGTGGACGATGTCAATCTTTGTTATACTACTTCCAAGAAATATAAAATAAGAACAATATCATGTGTAAAAATATTTGTTTTTTTGATCTGTGAAATATCATTCCATTCGATTTGATAGAAATTAATTTACTTCATTTTAAAATCAACATGTTTTGTAACCACGGCGCACACTTAAATGCAATGTAACGTCAAAAACATAGCTTCAAGAGTTTCTTAAAAATTCTATCCCAATACATTCACACAGTATAGTCCAATATCCACGTATTAAAAACCTTTTTAAATCACTTGACATATATTTTTCTAACAATTGTTCTCGTTTTATAATTTCCTCTATTAATGTTTAATTTCTTTTATCGCTTAACTGTGCTTTCACAAGATCAGCAACTCTGAAGCGCCTATGTCTTTCCATGACGTCCCAACTTTTAAAAGTTTTCGTTCAGATTTTTACAGTTAAACCGTTTCTTCACAGATTGTCCTGATCGTCCGATACAGAGTCTCTGTCACTCAAATACCGCCTCTACCATTTACACACACATGCACTACTCGCTTTTGGCATATTTTCTGAGTCCTCCAACATTTTTAGCGTTTATTCAGGATTTTCCCCGAGTATAACACAAAACTGCACCGTTATCTGCTGCTCCGTGACGTTCTACGTCATCGTTTTTGTCGTTTTCAATAAGGAATACTACCTATCTTCTCAAATTGATTTCTTTTTACCGAAGCAAAATATTAAGCCAAAATTGGAATAAGAATCGATGTAACAGTTCTTAATTTAACCGTCTAGGATTTTTTCGTTTTTCTTCCATCTTACAGAGAAGATGATTACAGACATTATTTAGTGTATTGTTTGTAAATAACTAAATTTTGACCTGCGCCGCGATCCGATTTTTGCAGTTTTTAATTCTGGATAAGTTGTATTTAAATAAATCATTATATTTTTGAAAAATTTAA